CCAAAAGCACAAGGAACAAATGAATGTTTGAACACGTTCTTCTTGGCCATACGCATTCTGAATCGCCGGCCAGAGGGAAGCCTCTGTAGGGTGTAGAGGGTGGGAGGGGATGCAAACGACAGCCAGTGCCTTCTTTTAAAAACAGGCGCTTGCTTGCTTTGAAAAAAATACAGTCTGCATTCTCTGTAAAAGTCAGCTTGTTATCAATTTGTGTCCCTAGATATTTGAAACACTCAACCACCTCCACTGGTTGGTCGTTCAGAGAGAGCGGTTGGGACATTGGCATGTTGTTGCCATTGATGATCAGCTTCTTTGTCTTTTCCACATTGATGTGGAGGGCACTTGACCGGCACCATTCTTGAAGGTTGTTGGTCTGTTTAAAATAGCTGCCCCCGTCTTTAAAAAAAAGAGTCCCACCAGAGCCATGTTTGCTAATTTGCTTTGGTCACAGTGGGCGAAATGTCCTTTCGTAGGACAGCCAAAGGCAAAGTCATTTTATACGTTGGGTGATTGGTTGAGCCTTCTTGGGTGAGTGATATTACGATCCCCGGGACCACCCATACGTAAAAATGTATGCGCACATGACTGTAAGTCGCTTTGGATAAAAGCGTCTGCTAAATGGCATATTATTATTATTATTATTATTATTATTATTATTATTATTATTATTATTATCACTCCGAGCCATTGAGACAAATATTTTAATGTTCTATCTGTGATTGAGCTATGCTCCGAGCCCTTACCAAAACAATGGCGGACAGTGTCCTTGGCCCCTGCCTGTCGGGCATGGTTTTCTCGGTACACAGCAGGCGGGAGGCTGGAGCAACACTGTGTGCTAACTAGCTAGCTAGCTTGCTAGTTAGTGACACCGTGTGCTAGCTTGCTAGTTAGCTAGCACACGTTGTTGCCCCCACCTCCCGCCTGCTATGTACCCGAGAAAACCGTGCGGGGGCCAAGGACACTGTCTACCGGTCGCCCCCGCCTCCCGCTAGCACTGCAGGCGGGAGGCTGGGGTGACAATGTGTGCTAACTAGCTAGTTAGTGACACAAAATATTTTTATTACAAAACCAAGATAGACCACAGCCTGTCATTTCCAATGGGAACAAATGAGTCATAGTGGGCAGAACAAGCATGGAGGTGGGCAGAGCCAAGCACGAGCTAGCGAGATCCTATTGGCCCATTCTAGCATACATCTGTATATTTCCGTTAGGGACCGCCTACTCTGTGAAGTGCGCGTGTGCAATAATGCCATTCGCTTTTGCACTCCTTCTAAACAATGCGATTTTGTAAAACTTTGGCAAAGGGTAAAGTCTACAAAACCTAGTCCACTCTGTTCATAACATATTCTAGTTTTGGGAACAGAAAACTGTATTGAGAACAAATGTTTAATCAATGACAAAGTTGGCAGAATGTTGGCCAAAATCCATCCCCTTCCATCTTCTCCTACTGCCGGCCACTGGGCTTCCTCTCACTACCATATTTGGTTCACATTTATACATCCGGTGAAATATCTGTCTCATTGTTCTATTTGTGGTGACACCGTGAGCTATCTTGCTAGTTAGCTAGCTATCACATGGTGTCGCCCCCTCCTCCGGCCTGCTGTGTACCAGAGAAAACCGTGCCCGACAGGCGGGGGCATTTATTTTAAATAAAAAAGTAAAGTAAAACAACAACAAGAAAGTGTTGAGGAAAAAAAGAGTAAAATTAAATAACAGTAGGGAGGCTATATATACAGGGGGGTACCGGTGCAGAGTCAATGTGCGGGGGCACCGGCTAGTTGAGGTAGTTGAAGTAATATGTACATGTGGGTAGAGTTAAAGTGACTATGCATAAATAATTAACAGAGTAGCAGCAGCGTAAAAAGATGTGGTGGGGGGGCAGTGCAAATAGTCCTGGTAGCCATGATTAGCTGTTCAGGAGTCTTATGGCTTGGGGGTAGAAGCTGTTGAGAAGTCTTTTGGACCTAGACTTGGCACTCCGGTACCGCTTGCCGTGCGGTAGCAGAGAGAACAGTCTATGACTAGGGTGGCTGGAGTCTTTGACAATTTTGAACTACCTCAACTAGCCGGTGTCCCCGCACATTGACTCTGCACCGATACCCCCCTGTATATGTAGCCTCCCTACTGTTATTTTATTTTACTTATGCAATTTTTTTCTCAACACTTTTGTTGTTTTATTTTACTTTTTTATTACAAAATAAATGCACTGTTGGTTAAGGGCTGTAAGTAAGCATTTGACTGTAATGTCTACACCTGTTGTATTCGGCGCATGTGGCCAATAAAATTTGATTTGATTTGATTTGACTCTCAGTTCCATTACATTACACATAAGGCGCCTTCTGCACAGCAGAGTTTTGTTAACACGCATTGCTTGCGGTTTTGGAAGCATAAGGACCTTATCTTTCATATCAGAAAGATGTTTTAAATCCAAAAATAAAACGTTAAATTGATACTCACCTTTATAGGGTTAGGGTTAGTGTTCCCACTCGGCCATATCTCCATGTTACAGCGCGTTTACGACAGACAGAAGACAGAGGGACCACCTGTGCTAATTAGCTTTCTAGCATGCTCCGAACACCTGTGAAGACCGCCAGAAACGTGTTGTCACTGAAAAATACTGTCGGCTGCAACTGTGATGAAGCCGGCTAAAGCCATCTTGGGCTAGCAAAGCGTGTGTTACCAATGGCTGTTGTTTTTGTTTGTCTAACTGAATGTACGTAGCAAGTAAATGCTATAAGTAAAAGCAATTGTGCTTGAAGAAATCGGATGTTCTGTGTTGAAATGTATTGTGTCATCATGCATTTCTCAAACTAACTGTGGTGGTGGTGGCAGTAATAGCAGCAAGAATGATTTTCTACGAAAGTGGGAGAAAGATGAGTATGAACAACTGGCTCAAAAACGACTCAATGAGGAGAGGGACAAAAAACATGGTAATTGAGTCCAAGCTGGGGAATACCATTGTTATCACCAAGACCACAACACAGGTTGAGATGGGGGGGTAAGAGGCTGTCATCCAAAGATACTCCTGAAATTAACTTGACAATGGGTTTTCACTCCCTTATCTAATGGTTGTATGCATTTAATTGTTTGATACAGATTAAACCTAATTGCTGTATTAGTTAGGTCCTTGTCTTTTTGACAACAGTGATACAGGCGTGTGATAAAAGCATTATGAGTGCTAGTATCTTCTATTCTCACGTTCAGGTACTACTGCAATGTGTGTGATTGTGTCGTGAAGGATTCCATCAACATCTTGGACCCCGTCAATGGCAAGAAACGTGAGTATGTACAACATTGTCATCTACACTGAATAAAAATTTAAACGCAACATACAACAATTTCTAAGATTTACTGAATTAAAGTTCATATGAGGAAATCAGTCAATTAAAATACATGTATTGGGCCACAATCTATGGATTTCACATGACTGGGAATACAAATATGCATCTGTTGGTCACAGATACCTTTTTTAAATGTAGGGGCGTGGATCAGAAAACCAGTCAGTATCTGGTGTGACCCCCATTTGCCTCATGCAGCGCGACACATCTCCTTCGCATAGAGTTGATCAGGCTGTTGACTGTGGCCTGTGGAATGTTGTCCCACTCCTCTTCAACGGCTGTGCGAAGTTGCTGGATATTGGCGGGAACTGAAACAAGCTGTCATACACATTGATACAGAGCATCCCAAACATGCTCAATGGGTGACATGTCTGGTGAGTATGTAGGCCATGGAAGAACAGAAAACTGTAATGAGATGAAAATGTTTCATAGATGAGAAAATTAGCAAAACATCGGCCAAAATCCATCTTGCTCCATCTTCTACTACTGCCGGCCACTGGGCTTCCTCTCATCACAATATTTGGTTGTGAGTGTAAATGCCAACCGGATGCTTCCGTCTCATTGTTCTAGCTGGGTCGTCATTAGTTACGACAGCCACAAAGTCATAAACCCCACCTATTTCTACAATTTCCCTTCTTGAAATGTGATTTTAACCCTTACCGTAACCACTCTGCTAACCATATGCCTAACCCTAACCTTAAATTAACCTTAAAAAATTCATGCACCGATATAGCCACATATTTTGACTTTGTGGCTGTGGTAAATAGTGGAAACCTTTATCTGTGAGATGGTGGCGATAATTCACCTTAAAGTTGGTTGCCAACCTCCATATAAAATCCACAGAAGAAGAAGAAGAAGAAGAAGAAGAAGAAGGATGATGTACGAGGAGAGATACATTTTTTAAAAACAAAATTTAAAAAAACTAGTAGAGAAGAGTAGAGAACACATGATTTTGTATGACTCAAAATGGGTTACAATTCTACAAAGATCCAGCAAAAAAATTGACCATATGCATTTCAGGTGAAATAACAACCCAATGTTAATCCCTTAGGACAAAGTAGCTAGCAGCAGCATGCTAGATAGATGTCCATGAACTTTTCATGTGTGTTTCGACCTGTCCCAAAATTAATATAGTTGCTTCACAGTTCGGTTTTGGTATTTTGACTTGCGTGTCATGAACGCATCGGGTGGGGATAGACAGAATCAACATGCGCATGCAGACAAACGCGCGGAGCCGGTTTGGTCAGCATGTAAAACACTTGAGTTTAATGGCTTTAAAGCTATGCTACAACAAATAGTGAAAGCATGTATCCCTGCTACTTATTTTCCCAGGAGGAGAAAGAGAAAGAAAGAGAAGCAGAAAGAAAAGAAGCAGAAAGCAGAGGAGGATCTCTTCCAGGAGAACGATGAAATGGCTGATATGATAGGATTCTCAGGGTTTGGTTTCTCAAAGAAAGACAAATTACCTAAAGAAATGTATTTGATCAAAAAGAAAACTTTGCTGTCTGTACTATTCTATCAGATTCAGGGTGTTCTGTTTTATTCCTCACCTGGCTATTTCCTCCACGAGTCCCATAATTAGAGAATAAACCAGCAAGCATAAAACCCAGACCCCTGGAATTAAGTATCCTGATATAAAAAGAAAGTGAGACACATGATTCATGTGGGTTTTGGGGACGGGAGATATCCACCTTTACAGCACAGAGGAATGGCAAAAGCCGAGAAAGAGGAGAGAACCACTGGCCCCACACATGACTGCCACACCAGGCATGTACTGTAGGTTTCTTCACACCTGTAAACACCAAGGAAGGACAGGACTCTGAAGTCAGCGTAAAAAGAAATGCTTTGTTATTGATAATGCACTGGTCAATGTAAGCCCCTTGGATTATGTGCAATCAGAACAGACAGACAACAACTTCAAGCCCCGAAGTGGGTTACCCATGCCAGCAATGGCCCCAGAGAGCATGCTGTCGAGATCATAGTAGTTCTTGTCGATGCGTTGGACCAATAGTCCGTAGAGTCCTCCGCTTGAAGCGGCATGCAGCAGGTTTGTAGTGCCCAGCCTTCATCAGCATCCAACACATGGGGGTGAGCGCCCATCACCAGGCCCAAGAAGCCCAGCATTTGAAGGCATCCTCCCAGCACCGCCATCTATGAACAGTCATACACAAGGGAGACATAAGCGCCTTTTATCAATTAGATGTGCTCACCTCCTGCGTCCTCTCTCCTCCGTCCTCTTTCGCCTCCTTTTGAAACAGGTCAAAGTTAATCGAGGAGAGGGAAAGTGGATGTGAATGCGCTTGCTTGAAATGAGACGGTCCTTCTCCACTCGCGCATCATTAAGCAAATTACGTTTACAGGGGTGGATCCCAAAGTAAATGTGTAAAGTGCCCACATGAAAAAATACTATAGTATACTATGGTATAAATACTATAGTATTCACTGTAGTGATTTTGCGGACTTTACTAAAGCCTAAATAAGTTCAGGAGTAAACATGTGCTTAACAAGTCATATAATAAGTTGCATGGACTCACTCTGTGTGCAATAATAGTGTTTAACATGATTTTTGAATGACTACCTCATCTCTGTAGCCCACACATACAATTATCTGTAAGGTCCCTCACTCGAGCAGTGAATTTCAAACACAGATCCAACCACAAAGACCAGGGAGATTTTACAATGCCTCACAAAGAAGGGAACCTATTGGTACATGGGTAAAAGTATGGAACACAATATATGGTCTATACTTGGCTTTCTCACTTATGGGCTGCACAAATTGGGATATGGGGAGGGGAATGTGCACGGTATATGCAAATTGAATACGGTAGTATTTACTATAGTTAAAGTGTAGTGTTTTTGTGGACATTACTGTTACATTACTGTAGTATTTACTACAGTTTCTTTTGCGGATAATACTGTAGTATTTACTATAGTATTCTACAGTATACTACAACGTTCTATAGTAAGTACTACACATGATCGAGGGATACTACAGTGTGTAGTATACTATTCTACAGTATACAGTGCATTTGCATTCTGCAGCATTGAAGGTCTCCAAGAGCACAGTGTCCTTCATCACTGAGCAATTGGGGGAGAAGGGCCTTGGTCAAGGAGGTGACCAAGAACCCAATGGTCACTCTGACAGAGCTCCAGAGTTCCTCTGTGGAGATGGGAGAACCTTCCAGAAGGACAACCATCTCTGCAGCACTCCACCAATCAGGCCTTTATGGTAGAGTGGCCAGATGGAAGCCACTCCTCAGAAAAAGGCACCTGTTTTTGCTTTGTCATTATGGAGTATTGTCTGTACATTGATGAGGGGAAAAATAATTTAAAACACTTTAGGATAAGGCTGTAACGTAACAAAATGTGGAAAAAGTCAAGGGGTCTCAATACTTTCCGAATGCACTGTACTACAGTTTACTACAGAATTCTATAGTAAGTACTGTAGTATTTTTTAATGTGGATGCTAAAAACAAATTAAGTTAGTTGTGCAAGACATTAAATAGATAAAACAATATGTAGCATATTGTTAAATGTGTGTACGTTTTTCTCCTCTGACAAAACAAAAGCTGATTCAAAGGGGGGGGGGGCAGATTTCAAAACTCTTCTGCGGTAGGATACACATGAGTATACTTGATGAAAGGTGGCTATCGAGGAGGGGAGGACGCTGTTCCGTTTGCCTACTAACGAATTGACACACTCTTTGACCACTCTACCTTTATCGGTTTCCGGGTCACGGAGGAGAGAGGATGGAAGATGGTCCTTTGCCCAAGCGAGAAAACCCCAGGGAGTTGGTGGATGCAGAAGCATGTAACAGAATCTACTTGTGTAGTCTTCTGATGGCCTTTGAAATGGGGACTCCAGCATCAAGCCCGTGATCCTATAACCTGCAGTGAGATGGCTGCACAACCCAGCAAGATCACATTGATGCCTACATAGTCCTGAACAGAGATGTGGGTCAATACGAGATACTCTCTCTGCTTATAATACATACCTAAATCCTGAATTTGAGTATGGTATGTGACTGGTTCACACCTGTGATGGGTAGGAGGCGGAAGTTTGACTGAAGATGCCTTGCTGGTCCCAGACACAGTGACAAGCCAGGGGGTAGATTAGTTCTGAGAAAGCAAGAAAACTCTCAACACAAGCCATATAACAAACCTCACCTCAAAAGTATTGAGTTGAGAGAAAGTGGCACAAAAACCGTGGTTTTAGAATCAGTGAGTGAGAATACCTGAGAAAACATATGCAGGTTTGAGTAGGTTACTTTCTAAATGTAATCGGTTACTAGATACCTGTCCAAAATTGTAATCAGTAACGGAACTTTTGGATTACTTTCCCCTTATGCATTAGAAGAAGACAAAAACAATCCATCAAACACATTTAGGGTGTCATCATAGTGGTCTCTGACTTGTGGTCAGACTCGCTCAGGTGGAACAAACTTAAACTTGTGCACATTTTTTAATGCTGAATTGAATGTCATTGTGAAAACAGCAAGGTGTCATAATGTATTTTTTCGTATACATCTGAATTTAAAAGTAATCAACAAGTAACATATCATTTTTTGTAAATATCTGTAATCTGATTACAATATTCTTGCTTGTAACGTAACTAATTAGTTTGGGTTTTAGTAATCAGATTACATGTAATCAGTCACTCCCCAACCCTGCAGAATGAGGTAGCCGATGGGTTCTGTCCTCTTGTTGGCGGCCCCTAGTGCCAGAGTAGTGGCCACAGCACAGCGAACATAGTTGAAGAAGAAGTGCACCATGTTTGTGTTGTCCAGTGTGAGGAAGAATTGGGTTCTGATAACAGTGTTATGCTCCCTAAAGACAAATGCAGGGCCAGCAAAGTGACAACTGTGGAAGCAAACAAGGGATGGAAAAGGGGTTAAAAGAAATAGTGAACTTTGCTTTACCCGTGGGGCCTATTGTTTTGTCAGTTGTTTTGCATAAAAGCATGAATACTTTTTTCCAGCAGATTTAAAGATCTTCATGACCTAAACAGTCACCTACTCATTTTCTTCTTTGACCTGTAAACATAGTTCACAAACTCCCACTACGCCACATCAGTCACCAGGAAGTGGAAACTGTGCTATTGAAACAACTGCTGTCAAGACAGCAAGCAGCATGCATGCAAGCATAAAGCTTACAACCTGTTTATGGGTTGGTGTCAGTGGAGGCCTGTGAGCATATGACAGCTACAGTAGCCTGAAATATCAGTCTCATTTTTTGGATGTGATTCTTGATTCTTCATAGATTAAACACTTACACAATGATCTTCTTCACAGTTAACATTTACATATTGCAAAAGGTGTTATTGAAGATGGCAAAAAAAAAATCCTAAATTGGGTGTGCAGCTCAAGATAAGTGCCCCCCCACCACCCACCATTGGAAACAAATTGTGAAAACGTTCAATTTGTTTTCAACTGTCTGCTAAACATTTTTAAATATGACATTGGAGACGTTCTTTGGATCTGTCTTGTCAGCCTCCATAAACGCAAACCCAAATTTGAGTCATGTGCAATCAAAGTTGTAGGTATTAGTTATAATAATTGTTTATACACAAATAAGAGCTTTTATATGGCAAGGATAAAATTAACAAATTTACAAAGAGGGAAAAATGTAGGAGGACTATCCATACCAAACTTTAAATTGTATTTCCAGGCATTAGCGTCTCGCCCCATCCTAAATTGGTTTAGACATGTTTCTTCTGCCCCTGGCTGAGTATAGAGAGAAATATGGTGTCTCCTATTGCCCTGGAAGAGGTGGTCTTCACTGATATATCCCTTAAACAATGTAAACTGTGCTTTGGTCCTATTATTGCTCACACAATCTCTATTTGGAGTGTAGTATCTAAACAGTTTATGATTTTGCTGACATGTGCAAATGGTGTGTTAGAGGAACTTGGCTCTGCTTGCGGAAACATCTGGAAAACATTATTATAGGGGCCCCCTAAAACAGAGGAGAGTCTGCTATGTAGAGGCCGGGGATTGGTCTATTAAAATCACGCCATATTATGTTACATAGGATATAAATACCATGTTTTGAACAAAGGACGGAGAGAGACAACATATTAACAGATTGGGCCGTTGTTCTCCAGATATCTGCAGATGTCTGTAAATTGATACTGTGATCTTTGATACAATAAACCTTTATAATCAAAGTACAGTGTAAGCGGACTTCTTATCATCACAGCATAGATCAGCATCGTTGTCTCTGACACCGCAGGAGCAACATTGAAAAGCAATGTAAGTTGGAATCAAAATGGCATGCCCATACTCCAATATTTCACAATAATGCCCTTGCGATCTGGAGGCCGGCCTTTTGCATCCCCGCAATGGTCCAAATGTGGACGCCATACCCATACCAATATCATGGACAGTAATGATTTTAGAACATTCCTAGATTTGAAAGATACATACACATTACCAGGCAACTCCTTTTTTCTATATTAACAATTTTGTATAGCTATGCTGGCGTATGGAGTCCCTTGGGAAACCCAACTACCCAATCATCCAGTAATGGGATTTATAAATAAATTATCCGGGCTCCCGAATGGACTGATCTCTATAATATATATAAACACATTTTGGAAAGCTTATATTAAAAAAGTATGGTCCATAGACCTAACTGAATCTGAGCAACCCTTTAACTGGAACAGAATATGGAAAAATATGAGCTTGGCATCCCATAATCTCAGACTGTATTTAACACCAAGGAAATGTTTTATGATGAAATTGGCCCCAACTTCTAACTGTTCCTTCATAGGATGTGGGAGTGCCCTGCAGTTAAATGCTTCTGGGGCAAAGTTACAAAATTTAATTTGGATTTGCATGAATGTAAATATTTAATGCTTTGCATCTATTTTGTTACTTAACGTTGATAGCCCCTTCAATCTCTCAATCAATCAGAGAAGATTACTGCTGGCAGGCAGCACTTCTGGAGCGAAAAATGTTGGCTCTAAGATGGCAACCACCTCACTCTCTCCCATTTAACCAGTGGAGAATGAATGGAGCTAGTCAAATGGTGCAAGCCGGGTTGGATAACGTGGTTTCCGGGTGGGGTGGGAGGATGCGGTCAGGTGGATGGTGACTGAGGTGGGGAATGGGTTGGGGTTGTCTTTGTATGCATTTCTTTGATTGTTTTTTAAACTGTACCCACCCCCCACCACCCCTGAAAAAAAAAGACAACATTAAATAAAAAGTTGGTCACAAAAATAAATCTAATAAGAGCTTAGTTTACTTACAGTGGGAGAAAAAAGTATTTAGTCAGCCACCAATTGTGCATATTCTCCCACTTAAAAAGATGAGAGAGGCCTGTAATCTTCATCATAGGTACACGTCAACTATGACAGACAAAATGATAATTTTTTTCTCCAGAAAATCACATTGTAGGATTTTTTATTAATTTATTTGCAAATTATGGTGGAAAATAAGTATTTGGTCAATAACAAACGTTTCTCAATACTTTGTTATATAACCTTTGTTGGCAATGACACAGTTCAAACGTTTTCTGTAAGTCTTCACAAGGTTTTCACACACTGTTGCTGGTATTTTGGCCCATTCCTCCATGCAGATCTCCTCTAGAGCAGTGATGTTTTGGGGCAGTCGCTGGGCAACACAGACTTTCAACTCCCTCCAAAGATTTTCTATGGGGTTGAGATCTGGAGACTGGCTAGGCCACTCCAGGACCTTGAAATGCTTCTTACGAAGCCACTCCTTCGTTGCCCGGGTGGTGTGTTTGGGATCATTGTCATGCTGAAAGACCCAGCCACGTTTCATCTTCAATGCCCTTGCTGATGGAAGGAGGTTTTCACTCAAAATCTTACGATACATGGCCCCATTAATTCTTTCCTTTACACGGATCAGTCGTCCTGGTCCCTTTGCAGAAAAACAGCCCCAAAGCATGATGTTTCCACCCCCATGCTTCACATTAGGTATGGTGTTCTTTGGATGCAACTCAGCATTCTTTGTCCTCCAAACACAACGAGTTGAGTTTTTACCAAAAAGTTCTATTTTGGTTTCATCTGACCATATGACATTCTCCCAATCCTCTTCTGGATCATCCAAATGCACTCTAGCAAACTTCAGACGGGCCTGGACATGTACTGGCTTAAGCAGGGGGACACGTCTGGCACTGCAGGATTTGAGTCCCTGGCGGCGTAGTGTGTTACTGATGGTAGGCTTTGTTACTTTGGTCCCAGCTCTCTGCAGGTCATTCACTAGGTCCCCCTGTGTGGTTCTGGGATTTTTGCTCACCGTTCTTGTGATCATTTTGACCCCACGGGGTGAGATCTTGCGTGGAGCCCCAGATCGAGGGAGATTATCAGTGGTCTTGTATGTCTTCCATTTCCTAATAATTGCTCCCACAGTTGATTTCTTCAAACCAAGCTGCTTACCTATTGCAGATTCAGTCTTCCCAGCCTGGTGCAGGTCTACAATTTTGTTTCTGGTGTCCTTTGACAGCTCTTTGGGCTTGGCCATAGTGGAGTTTGGAGTGTGACTGTTTGAGGTTGTGGACAGGTGTCTTTTATACTGATAACAAGTTCAAACAGCTGCCATTAATACAGGTAACGAGTGGAGGACAGAGGAGCCTCTTAAAGAAGAAGTTACAGGTCTGTGAGAGCCAGAAATCTTGCTTGTTTGTAGGTGACCAAATACTTATTTTCCACCATAATTTGCAAATAAATTCATAAAAAATCCTACAATGTGATTTTCTGGATTTTTTTTCTCATTTTGTCTGTCATAGTTGACGTGTACCTATGATGAAAATTACAGACCTCTCTCATCTTTTTAAGTGGGAGAACTTGCACAATTGGTGGCTGACTAAATACTTTTTTTCCCCCACTGTTTCTAACTAGCAAGCTACCTAGCTTGCCCGTTGGACAGCCAGATTCATGAACCATACTCACACAATGCAAAGAAGCTGCAGAGGAGGATGAACACATCGAGTCAGAGAAAGCCATGTCCAAAGACAGGTCTGTCTATACAGCTAGCCAGCTGTAGCTTGATAGCACAAATAGCTATTAGCTTGCTAGCAGGTTCGTTAGCGCAACCATTAGCTAACTATGCAATGAAAAAAAAGCAAGTAGCTAGCTAAACAAATAGCTACAAGTATAAGCACATTAGCTATGTGTTGTTCACGTTTTCAGGCTTGTGAGTGATTGATCGTGATGGAGGCAGACACGATACATAGATTCTGGTGCTTCTATTACATCAAAGATCCTTACCTGTGTGATTAGCTAGCTACGTAATAATGGACCTCCCCGAGGAGCGTGCAAAAGGCCTGTGTGACTGGCCTTGGTCTTGGACCTTGTTTACAAGTTAATGACCTTGTAGAAGTCTCAAATCATTAAAGTAATAGCACCAATGTATGTGAAGTGTGTGTGTGTGTGTGTGTGTGTGTGTGTGTGTGTGTGTGTGTGTGTGTGTGTGTGTATGTATGTTAGTGAGTGTCATTAGGCCTATTGTGTATGTTCTACTCCTATCTATGTTAACTGGTATTCTTCTTAAAAGGGGCTGTACTTCCCCTTGCTGTTGCCACCACTACTGTCATCATCGACAGGAAACGCAAGAGGAAGTTTGCTTTCTTTCTTTTCTCAGAGCTCTGAGAACTGACTAACTTAACTTTGAAAATATTGACATTTAAATGTATGTGTTGCTGTTGTCTGGACTTCAGATCATACATAACTCTTGATGGATGGATTTCATCACCTACCAGGCACTTGACATCACACCTGACACGATTTCACAGAATATTCTATTTTTTTTCTACTGTAGCCCTCAGATAGTGGTGGGTGTTGTTCTGCCTCTTTTCTGTGTTGTGAAAGAGTGATATCTTCCCATTTTATTTCTCTGAACACGGTTCAGGCTGCACACTTCCTCCACACAGCGCCAGACAGAGCATTGCCAAGGGCGTCACAGCAAGATACAAGGAGCCATTTTCTGACAGGCCTCGAAGTCAAACATGGCTATGGATATGACTGCACCGTAACAGAGGAGGTGTCCAAGCCAGCTGTCTTTCAAAGGAGTTTGTAAATATTTAATTTATATTCAGAAGACAGAGGGGAAAAATGAGTTTTGACCGAGTGCCATCCAAGTCAGAGGTCATGGGCTGGAATCCACACCAATTGTCAGACTACATGAGGAGGGTAAGTCATTTTCAGGTTAATTTTGCACCTTTTGTTGACAGTTCACAACCTGTAAAAGCTTTCCTTAATTCTCTGTCTTACAACATCATATTCAAAGCTACTTCACAGTGCCCATATTAATTCATTTTTTTCTGAATTTACAGTTGGAGTTAAGTGGATGTGACAAAGTCATCATGAAATGTAAAATAAATGGGCAAAGGTTCTTGGTAAGTGATATGAAGCAAATGTGTGTCCATTTTCCCATGTTTTCCTTGTATAGTTGGACTAGAAGACAAAATAATTAATCTTTGATTAAGGATTTCATTTTATTTTGGGGGGGGGGGGGGGGGGGGGACTGTCATGTAATATATCACTTGATGGAAATACTTAATCTATCATTTTGTAGAACATGAGTGAAAATGAGCTTCAGAAATTCCCCAAAATCCATTCACCGTGAGTATTCCATTACTTTTTCTTTAATTATGTGAAACTGAACATTTCAACAATTACATCAAACCATTTTTACATGCTCACACGGAAAACCAGCATAGGCACCCAGGTACACTTTTGGGTGGACCATTGTGAGGCAAAATGAAGACCACTCAGCTTCTTATGCCCCTGAACAATGAAAATGTTGGGAAATATGATAATTGCACAGGGAGAGGAAACTATTCAACAGAGATAAAAAAAAAAAAATGGAGCAACATGAATGTTTTAGGGCAGGAAACTGTAAAGAGGGGGACCAAGAACGACCAGAGGGATAGACAGATAGGGAGGAGAGTGGTAGGGTGCCTTATTTTAAAATACAAATTGGAGAGCCAAAGCATGACATTGAAACTTCAATCTACTTAAGATACCACATCCTGTCACAGGCGGACTCAAGTAGCACTCACCAATCACTGCTCACAATATTGAACATGTGACAAATGCTCAGAACAAAACTATAAGGGAATTATTGACTGTGTCGATACGCGACTGTGTGACAAAAGATGGAAACACTGTTTGCCCCAAAATATGGTAGCAGTATTGACTGCCACAATGTTGTCTGCTCTTTTTACAGACTCATCTCCAAAATCTGCTGTGAAATCAACAGGAAAGAAGAAAAAAGGCCATTCTTTACTAAAAGGTAACTTTTTGCAATTCTTAGCTATTCAACATAAGTAGTTTAATTCAAAGCAATATCCAAGCACAACCTTGCTCTCCTCTGTATTTTCTCTAGATCTGCAGCACCAAAATATAATGAACCAGGTATGGATGATTTTGAATTTGAAAGGATAGACCTTACCCTAGATCAAGTTATTATGATCGACATAGAAGCAATTGGAACATGATAAATGGGCAATTTTACCATTGTACTGCTACTTACTGCAGATACATCGCAAGAGGTTCAGCCCTGGGGACCTGATGAATTTGTAAGTCTGTCTTTGGCTATGTTACTCTACTGCATTCCATTCCTCCCTGTTTTATTCAGTTCAAGTGTCTTGTTCCTCTCTGGATTATTTATCTTTTCATCAATATTTAACTTGGTTGTCTGTCACTCCCAGGATGAGGTGAGTGACGATGACTATGAGAGCCCAGATGCTGAGGCTGATGACGGCAGTGGGGGCGATTACGAGTCACCAACAGAGGGGCCGGAGGTTGGAGGTGAGGACAGTGACAACGACTATGAGCCACCTCCGTCTGAGCCGCCTGATGAGATTCCCCATCAGCTCTGTGCTGCCAAGCGCAATGCTGACGATTACTACATTGGTACGGAGACATCAGTACAACACTGCCTTGCTCAACTCCTCTCACAAAGGACATATGTTGTGTCTTTGTATTGTCCCACATTGATTATATTTTGTGTGTGAATGTTTGCATCTATCTGTCTGTATGTATGTCTGTCTGTGTTTCTGTCTGTGTTTAGATAGTACCCCGCACCGCGGTACAGCTCTAAGCCAGCCACCTCCACCACCTCAACGCCCTGGGCCTGGTCCTCCACTCCCCTCCGCCAGTCGCCCTAGTGTAAGTATGTTCCCTCTGACTGCACCCCTCTTTCAATCCTCCACTCTCTCCTTTCACTCAGTCCCTCACCATTACGTTAAACTCCTTGTATCTGCAGCTAGTGGAGCCTCCCCCACCCAGAAGGGAGCAATCTCCCCAGCGCCCTGGCAGACTACCTGGCAAGAGTAAGTGTACACTCTGGAATGTTAATATCTCACTATAAATACAGCATTTGAACACTTTTTAGTCAGTTGTTTAGATTTTTACCTTGTCTTTTTGTATTGTCTTTCAAAGTGCCTGCTCCTTTCTCAAGTGCTCCACCTGCTCCACCAATTGACCGTAGAATAAAGCCCACCAAACTGGATCGAACAAGCCTTAATGATTCTCCAATACCAGGTACTCTCACACCAATCCAAACCTAGCAAGCAAAAGTTTACTACAGTAGTTGTCTGTTCTTACACCTGCTCTGTTTGTCCACACAGCAAGGAAGTTGAACACAACAGATAGGGTGAGAATAAAATTTGATTATGTTCTGATTAGTCCTATATTGTGTCCAAACAACTTTCTTCTCATCCCTACATCATCGCTCAATGTCAAGTGAAGATAAATATACATAAACTCAGCAAGAAAAGAGACGTTCCCTTTTCAAGACCCTTTCTTTCAAAAAAAAATTCGTAAAAATCTAAATAACTTCACAGATCTTCATTGTAAAGGGTTTAAACACTGTTTCCCATGCTTGTTCAATGAACCATAAACATTTAATGAACATGCACCTGTGGAACGGTCATTAAGACACTAACAGCTTACAGACGGTATGCAATTAAGGTCACAGTTATGAAAACTTAGGACACTAAAGAGGCCTTTCTACTGACTCTGAATAACACGAAAAGAAAGATGCCCAGGGTCCCTGCTCATCTGCGTGACAGTGCCTTAGGCATGCTGCAAGGAGGCAGGAGGACTGCAGATGTGGCCAGGGCAATAAATTGCAATGTCCGTACTGTGAGACGCCTAAGACAGCGCTACAGGGAGACAGGACGGACAGCTGATCGTCCTCGCAGTGGCAGACCATGTGTAACAGCACCTGCACAGGATCGATACATCCGAATATCACACCTGCGGGACAGGTACAGGATGGCAACAACAACTGCCCGAGTTACACCAGGAACGCACAATCCCTCCATCAGTGCTCAGACTGTCCGCAATAGGCTGAGAGAGGCTGGACTGAGGGCTTGTAGGCCTGTTGTAAGGCAGGTCCTCACCAGACATCACCGGCAACAACGTCGCCTATGGGCACAAACCCACCGTCGCTGGACCAGACAGGACTGGCAAAAAGTGCTCTTCACTGATGGTCGGATTCGCGTTTATCGTCGATGGAATGAGCGTTACACCAAGGCCTGTAATCTGGAGCGGATCGATTTGGAGGTGGAGGGTCCGTCATGGTCTGGGGCGGTGTGTCACAGCATCGTCGGACTGAGCTTGTTATCATTGCAGGCAATCTCAACGCTGTGCGTTACAGGGAAGACATCCTCCTCCCTCATGTGGTACCCTTCCTGCAGGCTCATCCTGATATGACCCTCCAGCATGACAATGCCACCAGCCATACCACTCTTTCTGTGCGTGATTTCCTGCAAGACAGGAATGTCAGTGTTCTGTCATGGCCAGCGAAGAGCCCGGAACTCAATCCCATTGAGCACGTCTGGGACCTGTTGGATCGGAGGGTGAGGGCTAGGGCCATTCCCCCCAGAAATGTCTGGGAACTTGCAGGTGCCTTGGTGGAAGAGTGGGGTAACATCTCACAGCAAGAACTGGCAAATCTGGTGCAGTCCATGAGGAGGAGATGCACTGCAGTACTTAATGCAGCTGGTGGCCACACCAGATACTGACTGTGACTTTTGATTTGGAACCCCCCTTTGTTCACGGACACATTATTTAATTTCTGTTAGTCACATGTCTGTGGAACTTGTTCAGTTTATGTCTCAGTTGTTGAATCTTGTTATGTTTAGACAAATATTTACACGTTAAGTTTGCTGAAAATAAATGCAGTTGACGATGAGAGGACGTTTCTTTTTTTGCTGAGTTTATATATTTTATGTGCTTGCTGAAGTTATATTTTGCTTTTATATAACTGCTATAGGCATGTCTATATGTGAGTGTTTAAAGGCCATCCCAGAATCTTTACTAATAGTTTGAAATAGGAAGATTTCACAATGAAGTGTATGACATGTTTGTTTTTCCTCACACACGCAGCCTGCTCCACATTTATGGAGGTAATTCATTTTTTTTTTGTCTATTGCTTTCCTTCATATAACTTCTCTCAATTCTATTTCATGTCATTGACAATGCACCTCCTTCCCTGTTTGAATTGTGACTGCACGTGTATACGTGCCACATTTGTTGTACATACACTCAGTAATAGAACTGTACCTTTTCTTAAGAAATTAAACAAGCTATAACTGAAATGCTCACTACACTGAACTGTCTGGGAACATCTGACTTCACATACCTTCTATTTCCAGGCCTCAGGCAGAAGAGAGGAGTCCAGACCCTCCCAGGATGCCCAAACCTCCCCTCCCTGTGTCAGCTAGAGTCATCAGGAGCAGCTCATCGGTGGGCAACAGGTCTGCAGTGCACCCAGCCTCCCTTCATACTCCATACAACACAGCTCCAGACACACATCATGTCATATACAGTGAGGGGGGGAAAAGTATTTGATCCCCTGCTGATTTTGTACGTTTGCCCACTGACAAAGAAATGATCAGTCTATCATTTTTATGGTAGGTTTATTTGAACAGCGAGAGACAGAATAACAACAAAATAATCCAGAAAAACGCATGTCAAAAATGTTATAAATTGATTTGCATTTTAATGAGGGAAATAAGTATTTGACCCCCTCTCAATCAGAAAGATTTCTGGCTCCCAGGTGTCTTTTATACAGGTAACGAGCTGAGATTAGGAGCACACTCTTAAAGGGAGTGCTCCTAATCTCAGCTTGTTACCTGTATAAAAGACACCTGTCCACAGAACCAATCAATCAATCAGATTCCAAACTCTCCACCATCGCCAAGACCAAAGAGCTCTCCAAGGATGTCAGGGACAAGATTGTAGACCTACACAAGGCTGGAATGGGCTACAAGACCATCGCCAAGCAGCTTGGTGAGAAGGTGACAACAGTTGGTGCGATTATTCGCAAATGGAAGAAACACAAAATAACTGTCAATCTCCCTCGGCCTGGGGCTCCATGCAAGATCTCACCTCGTGGAGTTGCAATGATCATGAGAACGGTGAGGAATCAGCCCAGAACTACACGGGAGGATCTTGTCAATGATCTCAAGGCAGCTGGGACCATAGTCCCCAAGAAAACAATTGGTAACACACTACGTGAAGGACTGAAATCCTCCAGCGCACGCAAGGTCCCCCTGCTCAAGAAAGCACATATACATGCCCATCTGAAGTTTGCCAATGAACATCTGAATGATTCAGAGGAGAACTGGGTGAAAGTATTGTGGTCAGATGAGACCAAAATGGAGCTCTTTGGCATCAACTCAACTCGCCGTGTTTGGAGGAGGAATGCTGCCTATGACCAAGAATCTGCCAAGAACACCATCCCCACCGTCAAACATTGAGGTGGAAACATTATGCTTTGGGGGTATTTTTTTGCTAAGGGGACAGGACAACTTCACCGCATCAAAGGGACGATGGACGGGGCCATGTACCATCAAATCTTGGGTGAGAACATCCTTCCCTCAGCCAGGGCATTGAAAATGGGTCGTGGATGGGTATTCCAGCATAACAATGACCCAAAACACACGGCCAAGGCAACAAAGGAGTGGCTCAAGAAGAAGCACATTAAGGTCCTGGAGTGGCCTAGCCAGTCTCCAGACCTTAATCCCATAGAAAATCTGTGGAGGCAGCTGAAGGTTCGAGTTGCCAAATGTCAGCCTCGAAACCTTAATGACTTGGAGAAGATCTGCAAAGAGGAGTTGGACAAAATCCCTCCTGAGATGTGTGCAAACCTGGTGGTCAACTACAAGAAACATCTGACCTCTGTGATTGCCAACAAGGGTTTTGCCACCAAGTACTAAGTCATGTTTCGCAGAGGGGTCAAATACTTATTTCCCTCATTAATATGCAAATCAATTTATAACATTTTTGACATGCGTCTTTCTGGATTTTGTTGTTGTTATTCTGTCTCTCACTGTTCAAATAAACCTACCATTAAAATTATAGACTGATAATTTCTTTGTCAGTGGGCAAACGTACAAAATCAGCAGGGGATCAAATACTTTTTTCCCTCACTGTACATTACATATCAACTGATCCTTAAATAAACACACTGTGTTCAATGGTTAGGGAAGTACAGTACACTCAATCAGGAATAAATGGGGTGGCGGAGTGGAATTGTGGTTGTTTACTTAGTGGGAGCTAATTGAGCTGGGGTGAATCACTGCCACAGATCACAGCTTTGTAGGACCTTTGCTTGTGGTACAAAGGAGAAACTCTTTGCATCACAACATGTGAATCGTTTTATGATTACCCTTCCAGTTTTCCATCCGTGTTTCGTTTGATTTGTTGGTTGTTGCACATATTTGGCCAAATCTTTGTGCTCGCTTACTCAGTTTGACACGAATTAGCAATATGCAAGTTAATATAACAACTCATTCATCTGTAATGTCCATTTCTGTTGCAGATATGTGCCTGATCCAAGAAATGAGGTAAGGCTATTTCACGGGATCACCACAATGGTGGAAGTTGCTAATAAGGATTTTGAAACTATCTTTAGCTTCACTAAAGCCCTGTTTATACCTGGTTCTAACATGCATCCTTTGTCCTGATCTTGTCCACATTCTGATTGTGCCCACATTTGACAGATATAGTAAACAAATAAAATACGCATTGTGATCAGATCTTCCTGACCACCTCTGGAGGTCGTCAGGCACTCATTGTCTCTGGATATCTTGCAAGTGTAGATGGATCTGGATAGTGAAAACATTTAAAATCATAAATATCCCGCCCTCTAAAATCATTGACAGGTGTCATGTGTTTTAAAATAAATACATATTCTTTTGAAAGAATATCCCTTCAAATAATAACCAGGAAATTCGGTCACAATGCGGACATAGTGGACAGATAAAATACATTTTAATACCATGTGTAGACACATCTGAAAAAGTGGGCACAATCAGTATGTGGACAAGATCAAAACAAAGGACTCATGTTAGCACCAGGTATAAACGGGGCTTGAGAAAAGGCTGCAGTTCCACCTCATACCATGTTCCTCTCTTATGTCATCAACAGGTACGAGATGAAGGTAAGCCATTTTCTAAAAGCTTTTTCTTCTTGTATAAGGGGACTTTACATTGTACTTCATCTTCATCCTGTTTTACCTTGAAGGACTATGCAGTATGTATTTAGTTCTCATAATGATTATATGTATCTCTCTTCTAGTGCCCATGGCCAAACCCTTCATCTCCAACACATTTCCTAGACCAGGGCTCCCTAGACCAATGCTCCCCGGATTGCACTTACATTCAGACAGGTAAGCAGTGGTGGAAAAAGTACTTAATTGTCATACTTGAGTAAAAGTAAAGATACCTTAGAAAACTACTCAAGTAAAAGTGAAAGTCACCAAGTTAAATACTACTTGAGTAAAAGTCTAAAAGTATCTGTTTTTAAATGTACTCAAGTACAGTGGTGGAAAAAGTACTCAATCATCATACTTGAGTAAAAGTAAATGTTATACATCAAATTCCTTATATTAAGCAGTGGTGTAAAAAGTACCCAAAAGCCATACTTGAGTAAAAGTATGAAACGTAAGAGCCGTAAATCCAAAACAGCCAGACCTTTTATTTGGTTTGAGCTTTTCTGAAAGGTAACAATCTTACAGACACAAGAGCTCAGATAAAAAAAAAAAAAGAACGTGGATTCTCAAATAGGCATCACTTCAAAATACATCTCTTACAGACTAAATATAATTATTCCTTAATTACAAAGGAATATAGCCAGTAAACGTAAGCACTTACAATCACAGTCACTTTGCTTTAGAAAAAACATCCTATAATAGAACCCTATACATAAAAAATTGATGAGCATATCAAAAGTACATGTACAGAACTGCACACAACCTCACTGTAGGAATATGAGGACATCACCACTGATAGAACTGTATTACAAATCAGTGTGTCAGGTCATGCCTTTGTAACAAGGACACCTATAACTTGTGAATTCTAAACATAAATTAACAAAACGCATAAGGCATCCGTGTCCTTGGGCTTGCTAGCGTTAATGCTGAACAGCCTTTCACATGCAGCTGATGCAGGTAAGGGTGTGTTTAGCCTCAGAGACAGCTTACAGACTGACGGGAAGGACTTGAGCAACTCCATATGATCAGCTGAACAGGCCAGGTATCCGTCCAGCTGAGAAGAAGTCCTCCTCATCTGATGAACTGGTGCCATCACCTAGCTGTAGCAAGGGTTCTTCCAGGTGGTCCTTGATGTAGTCCATTCCTGATATACAAGGAAGATGACAATAGAAATCAGGCCGTTATGAGCCTACATTAATCCATCCCCATCCCCCATCTATATAAACCAAGCAACAGGGCTAAGTAGGCTACCCATTGGACTGATCCACAAAGTCAGGACTGTAGTTTAAATGGGTGGTTCTCAAATCTATGAAGTGTCAAAATGTACACTATACACAGTTATGAATAATAAAATACTGTTAATTAACCATGTTGTCTTACCCATTCTGATGGTGGCGTCATCCTTTGCCCACGTTGTTTTGCATTTGGGGAGAAGGATTGCAGCTGCGATCAGCTCAGGGTCGTGAAACATGTGGCTGAAGCGCTTCTTCAATCCCAGTTGTAGCGCATCCACCAGAGGCTTACAGTACTTCAGGGACAACTTGAGTCGGTCAAGTGTTGTGATCAGCAGGTTGATAGTTGATAACTCTGACGGCCGCCTCTCCTTTGTCTTTGACGATCCTCAGGAGTCTTTCTACAGCCATGAACCAGGAGTTCCACCTTGTAGCATTCGGGGGCAGTAGCTGGAGGTCGCAAGCATCTTCAACCGTTTCAGCTGCAAGTGTGGATCTTCCGCATTTGTTCCAAAGTGCTTGGCACTTGCCAAATGTTGAACGGGACACTTTTTTGTAAGCCTCACTGGATGTTGCTTTCAGGGCATCGACTGTAGATACTAAGTTGAGTTGGTGGCAAGCACAGCGCTGGTGCTTCGGCAGCTGGTACTCAAAACCATCATCTTCATTCAGGATCGTTGCCACATCAACAAACTCCACTTCTTCACTCTCCTCTTGTTCCTCTTCACCATCTTCCTGTCCTGGCTGAGCTGCTTCACCACCCACTGCTTCCACTGTCTTGGGGTTTTCATCTTCTCCAAAAACTTGGAAAGCTTTCAAGAAGTTAGAGCCGTTGTCTGTTGTTGTTCTCACAATCTTACCCCGGATTTCAAACTCAGAATGGATGTCATTTAGGGCGCCTGCCAACACGTCAAAGGTGTGCGATCCTCTCAACCGTTTACAGGCCAGGGCTGCAGAGCATCTGTTGAGATTGTCAGGGTCTATCCAGTGGGCTGTGACACCAATGAAGCTCCGTCTTCTTGCAGACCAGCAGTCGGTGTTGGTGGCGATGTGGTCAACTCCTCTCATGGCCTCAGTCACCTTCTTCATTTCCGTGGAGGCTTCATCAATCCTGGAGCGCAGGGTGGGCCTTGATAAGATCTTTGAGTTAGGCTGCAGATCCTGGACAAACTCTCTGAACGGTTCTTGTTCTACAACAGCGAATGGTTGGAGCCCTTGGACCACACACTTCACCACAGCTTTGTCTATGAATTTTTGAGACTGTCTTCAGTAATGCGCTCTGCCTGGTGGAGGAGGGAGTCTTAGGGGCATGTTTTCTCTTCAGTGTGTTTGCCATCAGTTCTCCATACTTCTTAAGATGGTTTACATGCTTTCTCTGAAATAAGAATAAAAGGAAAAGAGAAAGACTGTTACTTAGCTACATAACTACCATCACCAAATACTTAAGGTATAGGATCCTAATTTTAAAGCTATAAACAACATTAGTTAAGTGAGAGTTTGTGACCACCATTTAATATTACAATGAGAAAAAAACTATGTTAATTGATCTAGCAAGTAGGTTAAGTCAATAACTTAAGTCTACAGTAATTAGCTAGGTAGGAACAACTTTATCAACTAACACAATTAATAAAATGGCTAGCTAACACCCGAAAGCTAACATTAGTTAGTTAGACCAGGTGTTCACAGAAAAGGTATTTGGCTAGACTAACGCTAGCTGACTAAAATGGGCCCAGATTTGGAAACCTACTAGTTAGCTAGCTTATTAACAAGCCAGCTAGTTAGCTCGTGTCAGTTTAGTTAGATTGCGTTAGCTAACAAAGCTTTCGAATCTGGGCACATTTTAGCCAGCTAAAGTAGGTAGCTACTAGCTAGTGAACTATTTAGGTATATAGGATTAGCTAGCATCAACGAACACTGCTTGTTGCATTAGCAAATGTGGGCTAGCAAGGTTAGCTAGCATGCTAACGTTATTCTAGCTAGCAAGCTAACAGTAGGCTTACCTCAATGTGTTTTGTTAGCTTCGAAGGCGAGTTCTTGAACGCTAGTATTTCCTGAACTTTTGGTAAACATAACAGACGTTTCAACCGGTAGGATGAATCCTTCATTCTGAGAAAATAAAACATTTATTTTAGATACAGCGAAGGGTGTTCGTCTTCATCGGGAGGTGGTGGTAGAGCGATGTCTGACATGATTGTGCGATTTCGGACACGCTTGGCCAAAGTGCTACTGAGTGGATGACTGTTTTGCAAGTGACAGGCTCCCGGTGTTTGGCCTTTGCACTTTAGGACCCTTGGATTTGCCCAAACTGATGAGGATTGGATCAACTCTGAATGTCGTCGCCTGCTGCATTGCAAAACAAGTTCACCCATGAGTGTGCCGACTCGCCGATGTTGCTTGCATATTTTTTCCAACATGATTCGTTTTTTTCTTCCAGCTTCAGATTGATTTGATTTTGTAGCGAGTAACGAAGGTGTCAGGGGAAATGAATCGGAGTAAAAGTATACTTATTTTTTTAATTTAGTGAAGTAAAAGTAAAAGTCGACAAATATAAATAGTAAAGTACAGATACCCCAAAAAACTACTTAAGTACAGTAACATTACTTTACACAACTGCAGGTAAGATCAGTTGTTTTGTCATGTCAAAGTTAGGAAGGAAAATGGCTATATGGTTTATATGGAGGACATAATTTTGCAGAGGTGATGGAATTAAAAGGTGCACACATTTGAATGGTAATCTGCAAACTCTTGTTCCATCTCTCTCCAGTTTGTCACCTAATATCGCTTCAAGTGCTTCAAGACTGCAGGCATGTGAGTGCTGTATTTTCACTTCAGTCCCCATTATCAGACACTACCGTGGTAAAGGATACTGTGTAAATATGACTCACAATTTCTCGATTGATAACTGATTGGATTCTCCTTTTTCCTTTGTAAGCTTTCTCACACAGGAGCAAGATTATGCCCGCGCCGCTACCTGTGCAAGCTTCTATGCCCCCACCGGCAGACCAAGAGGATGAACAGGTGACCGCCTACCATACAGACAGACAGACTCTCGAATATGAACGTACTTACGTTGAACCTGATCTAGTGATGCAATGACTTGCATAGCTCAGTAGGTAGCGCCATTGTATTGTTCTTCTAAGGGAGTATTGTAGATTCTGGCTGCAGCCCCTAGTCTTAATAGCTGTAGTGTCTACAAGCTGAGCCCTTTGACTCTGTGAGACTAGTCAGATCCTATTGAATAAATCAAATATTTCAGTAGGCCCTCATACAATAATGTATATGCAAATAATGGTAATTGAGCATTTAATCAATCAAATGTATTTATAAAGCCCTTTTTACATCAGCAGATGTCACAAAGTGCTATACAGAAACCCAGCCTAAAACCCCAAACAACAAGCAATGCAGATGTAGAAGCATGGTGGCTAAGAAAAACTCCCTAGAAAGGCATGAACCTAGGAAGTACCCTAGAGAGGAACCAGGCTCTGAGGGGTGGCCAATCCTCTTCTGGCTGTGCCGGGTGGCGATTATAAGAGTACATGGCCATTAAGGCCAGATTGTTCTTCAAGATGTTCAAATGTTCATAAATGACCAGCAGGGTTGTAGAGGGTGCAACAGGTCAATACCTCAGGAGTAAATGTCAGTTGGCTGTTCATAGCCGAGCATTCAGAGGTCGAGAGAGAGGTCGAGAGCGAGACGAAAACAGCAGATCCGGGACAAGGTAGCACGTCCGGTGAACAGGTCAGGGTTCCATAGCCGCAGGCAGAACAGTTGAAACTGGAGCAGCAGCACGACCAGGTGTACTGGGGACAGCCAGGAGTCATCAGGCCAGGTAGTCCTGAGGCATGGTCCTAGGGCTCAGGTCCTCTGGGAGGGGAGAGAGCACACTTAAATTCACACAGGACAACAGATAAGACAGGAGAATTACATCAGATGCAGTGCATTTGGAAAGTATTCAGACCCCTTTACTTTTTCCACATTTTGTTACATTCTAAAATTGATTAAATTGTTTTTTTTCCCCTCATCAATCTACTCACAATACCCCATAATGACAAAGCAAAAACAGATTTTTAGAAATGTTTGCAAATGTATTAAAAATGAAAAACGGAAATATCACATTTACATAAGTATGCAGACCCTTTACTCAGTACTTTGTTGACGCACCTTTGGCAGTGATTACAGCCTCGAGTCTTCTTGGATATGATGCTACAAGCTAGGCACATCTGTATTTGGGGAGTTTCTCCCATTCTTCTCTGCAGATCCTCTCAAGCTCTCAGGTTGAATGGGAGCGTCGCTGCACAGCTATTTTCAGGTCTCTCCAGAGATGTTCAATCTGGTTCAAGTCCGGGCTCTGGCTAGGCCACTCAAGGACATTCAGAGACTTGTCCCGAAGCCACTCCAGCGTTGTCTTGGCTGTGTGCTTAGGGTCGTTGTCCTGTTGGAAGGTGAACCTTCGCCCCAGTCTGAGGTCCTGAGTGCTCTGGAGCAAGTTTTCATTATGGGTCTCTCTGTACTTTGATCCGTTCATCTTTCTCTCGATCTTGACTAGTCTCCCAGTCCCTGCCGCTGAAAACATCCCCACAGCATGATGCTGCCACCGCCATGCTTCACCATAGGGATGGTGCCAGGTTTCCTCCAGATGTGACGCTTGGCATTCAGGCCAAAGAGTTCAATCTTGGTTTCATCAGACCAGATAATCTTGTTTCTCATGGTCGGAGAGTCCTTTAGGTGGCTTTTGGCAAACTCCAAGTGGGCTATCATGTGCCTTTTACTGGGGAGTGGCTTCCATCTGGCCACTCTACCATAAAGGCCTGATTGGTGGAGTGCTGTAGAGATTGTTGTCCTTCTGGAAGGTTCTCCCATCTCCACAGAGGAACTCTGGAGCTCTGTCAGAGTGACCATTGGATTCTTGGTCACCTCCCTGACCAAGGCCCTTCTCCCCCAATTGCTCAGTTTGGCCGGGCAGCCAGCTCTAGGAAGAGTCTTGGTGATTCCAAACTTCGTCCATTTAAGAATGATGGAATCCACTGTGTTCTTGGTGACCTTCAATGCTGCAGAAATCTTTTGGTACCCTTCCCCAGATCTGTGCCTCGACACAATCCTGTCTGAGCTCTACAGACAATTCCTTTGACCTCATGGCTTGGTTTTTGCTCTGACATGCACTGTCAACTGTGTGACCTTATATAGACATGTGTGTTCCTTTCCAAATCATCTCCAATCAATGTAATTTACCACAGGTGGACTCCAGTCAAGTTGTAGAAACAAGGATGATCAATGGAAACAGGATGCACCTGAGCTCAATTTCGAGTCTCATAGCAAAGGGTCTGAATATTTGTAAATAAGGTATATCTGTTTTGTTTTTTTCACTTTGTCATTATGGGATATTGTCTGTAGATTGATGAGGATAAAAAAAATATACAGTGGGGAGAACAAGTATTTGATACACTGCCGATTTTGCAGGTTTTCCTACTTACAAAGCATGTAGAGGTCTGTAATTTTTATCATAGGTACACTTCAACTGTGAGAGACGGAATATAAAACAAAAATCCAGAAAATCACATTGTATGATTTTTTAAGTAATTCATTTGCATTTTATTGCATGACATAAGTATTTGATCACCTACCAACCAGTAATCATTCCTGCTCTCACAGACCTGTTCGTTTTTCTTTAAGAAGCCCTCCTGTTCTCCACTCATTACCTGTATTAACTGCACCTGTTTGAACTCGTTACCTGTCTAAAAGACACCTGTCAACAAACTCAATCAAACAGACTCCAACCTCTCCACAATGGCCAAGACCAGAGAGCTGTGTAAGGACATCAGGGATAAAATTGTAGACCTGCACAAGGCTGGGATGGGCTACAGGACAATAGGCAAGCAGCTTGGTGAGAAGGCAACAACTGTTGGCGCAATTATTAGAAAATGGAAGAAGTTCAAGATGACGGTCAATCACCCTCGGTCTGGGGCTCCATGCAAGATCTCACCTCGTGGGGCATCAATGATCATGAGGAAGGTGAGGGATCAGCCCAGAACTACATGGCAGGACCTGGTCAATGACCTGAAGAGAGCTGGGACCACAGTCTCAAAGAAAACCATTAGTAACACACTACGCCGTCATGGATTAAAATCCTGCAGCGCACGCAAGGTCCCCCTGCTCATGCCAGCGCATGTCGAGGCCCGTCTGAAGTTTGCCAATGACCATCTGGATGATCCAGAGGAGGAATGGGAGAAGGTCATGTGGTCTGATGAGACAAAAATAGAGCTTTTTGGTCTAAACTCCACTCGCCGTGTTTGGAGGAAGAAGAAGGATGAGTACAACCCCAAGAACACCATCCCAACCGTGAAGCATGGAGGTGGAAACATCATTCTTTGGGGATGCTTTTCTGCAAAGGGGACAGGACGACTGCACCATATTGAGGGGAGGATGGATGGGGCCATGTATCGCGAGATCTTGGCCAACAACCTCCTTCCTCAGTAAGAGCATTGAAGATGGGTCGTGGCTGGGTCTTCCAGCATGACAACGACCCGAAACACACAACCAGGGCAACTAAGGAGTGGCTCCGTAAGAAGCATCTCAAGGTCCTGGTGTGGCCTAGCCAGTCTCCAGACCTGAACCCAATAGAAAATCTTTGGAGGGAGCTGAAAGTCTGTATTGTCCAGCGAGAGCCCCGAAACCTGAAGGATCTGGAGAAGGTCTGTATGGAGGAGTGGGCCAAAATCCCTGCTGCAGTGTGTACAAACCTGGTCAAGACCTACAGGAAACGTATGATCTCTGTAATTGCAAACAAAGGTTTCTGTACCAAATATTAAGTTCTGCTTTTCTGATGTATCAAATACTTATGTCATGCAATAAAATGCAAATTAATAATCTGGATTTTTGTTTTAGATTCCGTCTCTCACAGTTGAAGTGTACCTATGATAAAAATTACAGACCTCTACATGCTTTGTAAGTAGGAAAACCTGCAAAATCGGCAGTGTATCAAATACTTGTTCTCCCCACTGTATATCCATTTTAGAATAAGGCTGTAACAACAAAATGTGGAAAAAGTCAAGCGGTCTGAATGCACTGTATAACAGACTGACCCTAGCCCCCTGGCACATAGACTATTGCAGCATAGATACTGGAGGCTGAGACAGGGGGGGTCGTGGACACTGGCCCTGTCCGACGATACCCCCGGACAGGGCCAACCAGGCAGGATATAACCCCACCCACTTTGCCAAAGCACAGCCCCTACACCACCAGAAGGATATCAACAGACCACCAACTTACTACCCTGAGACAAGGCTGAGTATAGCCCACGAAAATCTCCTCCAACGTACGAGCCCAAGGGGGCGCAAAACCAGAGAGGAAGATCACGTCTGACTCAACCCACTCAAGTGACGCACCCCTCCTAGTGACGGCATGGAAGAGCACTAGCAAGCCAGTGACTCAGCCCCCGTAATAGGGTCAGAGGCAGGGAATCCCAGTGGAGAGAGGGGAGCCGGGCAGGCAGAGACAGCAAGGGCGGTTCGTCGCTCCAGTGCCTTGGCTTTCACCATGAGTCTTCAGTAAAGACTTAAAGGTCGAGACCGAGTCTGTGTCTTTCACATGGATAGGCAGACCATTCCATAAAAATTGAGCTCTATAGGAGAAAGCCCTGCCTCCAGCTGTTTGCTTAGAAATTCTAGGGACAATAAGGAGGCCTGCATCTTGACCGTAGCGTACGTGTAGGTATGTATGGCAGGACCAAATCGGAGAGATAAGTAGGAGCAAGCCCATGTAATGTTTTGTAGGTTAGCAGTAAAACCTTACATTTACCAGACGCTCTTATCCAGAGCAACTTACAGTTAGTGAATACATATATTTTTTATACTGGCCCCCCGTGGGAATCGAACCCACAACCCTGGCGTTACAAACACCAGGCTCTATCAACTGAGCTACATCCCTGCCGGCCATTCCCTCCCCTACCCTGGGCCAATTGTGCGCCGCCCCATGGGTCTCCCGGTCACGGCCGGCTGCGACAGAGCCTGGATTCGAACCAGGATCTCTAGTGGCACAGTTAGCACTGCGATGCAGTGCCTTAGACCACTGCGCCACTGCGCCACTCAGGAGGAACTCACCTTGAAATCAGCCCTAGCCTTAACAGGAAGCCAGTGTAGAGAGGCTAGCACTGGAGTAATATATGATCAAATTTTTTGGTTGTAGTCAAGATTCTAGCAGCCGTGTTTAGCACTAACTGAAGTTGTATTTAGTGCTTTATCCGGGTAGCCGGAGAGTAGAGCATTGCAGTAGTCTAATCTAGAAGTGACAAAAGCACGGATTAGCTTTTCTGCAAAATTTTTGGACCAAATGTTTCTGATTTTTGCAATGTTCCGAAGATGTAAAAAATATTATTGATATGTTCATCAAAAGACGACAAATCATTTATATTGAAAAATGTGGAAACGTTGCAAATGTATCAAATGTTTGTTGTGTCATGGTTTTTGTCTGAAGCCTATTACAGAAATGATCAACAGGTCACAAAGTCACAAATCCCATAGTATTGATGTGTGATTGTGTGAATGTGTAGGACATGAACCCTCAGTGGTACGTTGGCAAGGTGACGCGGGGCCAAGCAGAGGGCTGTCTCAGACAGGTCAACAAGGTGAGACGTCTTCTGCTGCCAATATCACTCACACACCTTGTTGACTGTAATAACAGGCAAACTCTCATTCATGCACTGTACTCATAGATTAAACGTGACAATGGTTTTTGAAGGGGACAATGAAATATCATATATAGTCCAATGTCAATATTTTTCTTTTAAATGTGTATAGTTCACCAGTGCTCTGTGGTGATAGAATACAGCACAAACACCACTATGATGAGCAATGTTTTTCTGTTTCATTTGCCTATTAGGATGGTGCATTTCTGGTACGAGACAGTTCGAAACGCTCGTCCATCCAGCCCTATACGCTCATGGTGCTCTACCAGGACAAAGTCTACAATATCCAGATTCGGTGCGAACAGAATGAGTTTCTGCTGGGAACTGGTCTTAAGGCCTCAGAGGTACACATGATCTACCTCATTCATCCTGACCAGGGCCAGGAGTTGTTCCTGATCATGTCACATGGTCAGAAATAAATTCAGAGCCCTAATTATGACAAGTCAGAGTAATATGTGTAATTCTATATCATATTATCAATCACTCTGGGGATGACGTATTGAGCTTTGTGAACTGAATCCATGTATATGTAATCTGAAAGTTTGTTATATAGTACTTTTTGCCAAAACATCAACTAGAAGATTTGATTAGATGTACAGCCATCTGACATGTACAGTATGTTTCAGCTTCTGTTATGATACGGCTCAATGAAACCCTGCTAATGGATGGGTTCATGTTTTATGTTTCAGACCTTTCTGATGGTGGCACACATCATCAACCATTACAGACAGTCACCACTTCTGCTGATTGATGCTAAGAACCGTGAATCAGGTCAGCAGAACCAGTGTCCTCTGATCTACCCAGCAGGTCTCCATCCATCATTTTAATAGACACCTGGGGGAGGGAGAACAATGACATGGAGCAATAGTCAAGATTCACATTGGTTTTAATAAAATAATACCACTAACATTATGGGGGAATTAATTATGCAACCTTTGAATTCCAGTTCATTGTCTTTACATGTACAGTCATTTCATGTAAAGCCAAGTGACTCTTGGATGAAGAGTACGCCACTGTCAACTGTTTACTCTATGGACCTCAAAAAGAAAAGTCAATACGGGTTCAACAATATTTGTCGTTTTTTTTTCTCTACTTATATATTTATTTGAGTATGGAAAGCACAGAAGCTGAACATGTCCGTGTGTAGTTCTGTAAATGTTTGTTGCTCTCTTATTTTCCTGTTACATGCAATTATCCAAGTAAGGAAATAGTGGTTTAAACAGTCAGTCACAACTGCTGAGCTTTCATAATATGGAATTTTATCCGCTTCTAAATAAAACAGTATTTCTTTCCTGCATTGTTTAATGGTTAAATGAAAACAATATTATTTAATATCTGACACTATGTTCCATTATGTACAGTTGAAGTCAGAAGTTTACATACACCTTAGCCAAATACATTTAAACTCAGTTTTTCACAATTCCTGACATTTAATCCTAGTAAAAATTCCCTGTCTTAGGTCAGTTAGGATCACCACTTTATTTTAAGAATGTGAAATGTCAGAATAATAGTAGAGAGAATGATTTATTTAAGCTTTTATTTCTTTCATCACATTCCCAGTGGGTCAGAAGTTTACATACGCTCAATTAGTATTTGGTAGCTTTGCCTTTAAATTGTTTAACTTTGGTCAAACGTTTCGGGTAGCCTTCCACAAGCTTCCCACAATAAGTTGTGTGAATTTTGGCCCATTCCTCCTGACAGAGCTGGTGTAACTGAGTCAGGTTTGTAGGCCTCCTTGCTCGCACACGCCTTTTCAGTTCTGCCGACAAATGTTCTATAGGATTGAGGTCAGGGCTTTGTGATGGCCACGCCAATACCTTGACTTTGTTGTCCTTAAGCCATTTTGCCACAACTTTGGAAGTATGCTTGGGGTCATTGTCCATTTGGAAGACCCATTTGCGACCAAGCTTTAACTTCCTGACTGATGTCTTATAATAATATGCCATTTAGCAGACGCTTTTATCCAAAGTGACTTACAGTCATGCGTGCATACATTTTTCGTGTATGGGTGGTCCCGGGGATCGAACCCACTACCTTGGCGTTACAAGCGCCGTGCTCTACCAGCTGAGCTACAGAGGTCTTGAGATGTTGCTTCAATATATCCACATAATTTTCTTTCCTCAGGATGCCATCTATTTTGTGAAGCGCACCAGTCCCTCCTGCAGCAAAGCACCCCCACAGCATGATGCGGCCACCCCCGTGCTTCACGGTTGGGATGGTGTTCTTCGCCTTGCAAGCATCCCTCTTTTTCCTCCAAACATAACAATGGTCATTATATATTTTTGTTTCATCAGACCAGAGGACATTTCTCCAAAAAGTACGATCTTTGTCCCCATGTGCAGTTGCAAACCGTAGTCTGGCTTTTTTATGGCGGTTTTGGAGCAGTGGCTTCTTCCTTGCTGAGCGGCCTTTCAGGTTATGTCAATATAGGACTTGTTTTACTGTGGATATAGATACTTTTCTACCTGTTTCCTCCAGCATCTTCACAAGGTCCTTTGCTGTTGTTCTGGGATTGATTCACACTTTTCGCACCAAAGTACATTCATCTCTAGGAGACAGAACGCGTCTCCTTCCTGAGCGGTATGACGGCTGCGTGGTCCCATGGTGTTTATACTTGCATACTATTGTTTGTACAGATGAACGTGGTACCTTCAGGCGTTTGGAAATTGCTCCAAGGATGAACCAGTTTTTTTTCTGAGGTCTTGGCTGATTTCTTTTGATTTTCCCATGATGTCAAGCAAAGAGGCACTGAGTTTGAAGGTAGGCCTTGAAATACATCCACAGGTACACCTGCAATTGACTCAAATTATGTCAATTTGCCTATCAGAAGCTTCTAAAGCCATGACATCATTTTCTGGAATTTTCCAAGCTGTTTAAAGGCACAGTCAACTTAGTGTATGTAAACTTCTGACCCACTGGAATTGTGATACAGTGAATTATAAGGGAAATAATCTGTCTGTAAACAATTGTTGGAAAAATTACTTGTGTCATGCACAAAGTAGATGTCCTAACCGACTTGCCAAAAATATAGTTTGTTAACAAGAAATTTGTGGAGTGGTTGAAAAACGAGTTTTAATGACTCCAACATAAGTGTATGTAAACTTCCGACTTCAACTGTAGCTGTATTCACTGTTTAAACAAGCTTTTATTTTTTTTATTGGAAACTTGTGGCAGAAATTCTACAAATCATTGGTCATTGATGGTGGCACACTAAAAAAACTTTACTGACCTCTGTGCCAAATTCTCCCCATTTTTTAAATTGACTTTTGTCAACGACTTCCATTGTTTCTCTAACTTGCCTGAAACATAGAAGATGATAAAAGGGTTGTCTCACTGCTGCTCTGGCAGTGTAAAATTAATACATGTTTTAAAAAATGTAAGTATGTTGCATCTGCACCACTAACCTGTTGTAAAACATAATGCCTCACCACCGGAATCATAATCTGTGTATAAAAGCTTTATGTCCCTAATCTCTCATTTGTCTGTTATAATTTACACAAGCCTTGTGTAATACATTTGAAACCTGACTCCTCTGCCTAGAGAGAAGATCTAAAGCATACAGTATGTCAAATACAATAGCAGACAATATAAACCCCCTGGAGAGACAGACATGCTGTTATGTCTGTGTCAGCACAGCAGGAGAGGATTACTTAATCCCACTAACTGCCATCCTTGGCAGCCTCCAATATTTTTTTTCTCCTGGAAATGAATAATCGAACACTTTACCTGTCCTTGCAGGCAACTTGAGAGCGACAACTCTGAGCTGATAAGGTGGGATGTATCTTTGGGAGCAACTTCCATGTTCACGAATGATGAAGAGCAGAAACTATCCAACTGCCGTATGCCTCTGTTTGCCCAAATTCAGGCTCGAATTACCCATGACTGTGCAGAAATGTTTGCAGTAAAGCCTGCATGGATCACTGAAATCAAAACCTTCGCTCACCCCGAAAAAGTCCATGGCGGTACAGTGCCTTGCAAAAGTATTCATCCCCCTTGGTGTTTTTCCTATTTTGTTGCATTACAACCTGTAATTTAAATGGATTGGATTTCATGTAATGGACATATACAAAATAGTCCAAATTGGTTAAGTGAAATGAAAAGAAAAACCTGTTTAAAAAAAACGGAAAAGTGGTGTGTGCATATGTATTCACCCCCTTTGCTATGAAGCCCCTAAATAAAATCTGGTGCAACCAATTACCTTCAGAAGTCACATAATTAGTTAAATAAAGTCCACCTGTGTGCAATCTAAGTGTCACATGATCTGTCACATGATCTCAGTATATATACACCTGTTCTGAAAGACCCCAGAGTCTGCAACACCACTAAGATAGGGGCACCACCAAGCAAGCGGCACCATGAAGACCAAGGAGCTTTCCAAACAGGTCAGGGACAAAGTTGTGGAAAAATACAAATCAGGGTTGGGTTATAAAAAAATATCAGAAACTTTGAACATCCCACGGAGAACCATTAAATCCATTATACATTTTTTTGAAAGAATATGGCACCACAACAACCCTGCCAAGGGAGGGCCGCCCACCAAAACTCACGGACCAGGCAAGGAGGGCATTAATCAGAGAGGCAACAAACACCAAAGATAACCCTGAAGGAGCTGCAAAGCTCCACAGCGGAGATTGGAGTATCTGTCCATAGGACCACTTTAAGCCATACACTCCACAGAGCTGGGCTTTACGGAAGAGTGGCCAGAAAAAAGCCATTGCTTAAAGAAACAAATAAGCAAACACATTTGGTGTTCGCCAAAAGGCATGTGGGAGACTCCCCAAACATATGGAAGAAGGTACTCTGGTCAGATGAGACTAAAATTGAGCTTTTTGGTCATCAAGGAAAACGCTATGTCTGGCGCAAACCCAACACCTCTCATCCCCTCGAGAACACCATCCATGTTTTTCATCAGCAGGGACTGGGAAACTGGTCAGAATTGAAGGAATGATGGATGGCGCTAAATACAGGGAAATTCTTGAGGGAAACCTGTTTTCAGTCTTCCAGAGATTTGAGACTGGGACTGAGGTTCACCTTCCAGCAGGACAATGACCCTAAGCATACTGCTAAAGCAACACTTGAGTGGTTTAAGGGGAAACATTTAAATGTCTTGGAATGGCCTAGTCAAAGCCCAGACCTCAATCCAATTGAGAATCTGTGGTATGACTTAAAGATTGCTATACACCAGCGGAACCCTTCCAACTTGAAGGAGCTGGAGCAGTTTTGCCTTGAAGAATGGGCAAAAATCCCAGTGGCTAGATGTGCCAAGCTTATAGAGACATACCCCAAGAGACTTGCAGCTGTAATTGCAAGCTCAAGTTTTCTTTTTTTTAAATATTATTTATTGTTTGTTTCACACAAAAAAATATTTTGCATCTTCAAAGTGGTAGGTATGTTGTGTAAATTAAATGATTAGCCCCCCCCCCCCCCCCAAAAAAAATAATAATAAATATATATATATATATTTTAATTCCAGGTTGTAAGGCAACAAAATAGGAAAAATGCCAACAGGGGTGAATACTTTCGCGAGCCACTGTACATACGTCCCTGTCTAAGTAAAAATGAATTATTCTGCATGAAGAAGCCGTGTAGCTCAGTTGGTAGAGCATGGCGCTTGCAACGCCAGGGTTGTGGGTTCGTTTCCCACGGAGGGCCAGTATAAAAAAATAATTTAAAAAATGGTTTGAACTAACTGTAAGTCGCTCTGGATAAGAGCATCTGCTAAATGACTAAAATGTAATTGTCATCAAGCTCTCTGGAGCCATGCAGCCTGGTCTCATAGAATAGACATAACATAGTAAATTAAAACCCAGGATACAAATGAGTATCATTTGTTACGTTTGGTATGGTTACATAAGACTGAAGGTTACTTGATGCTGCCTGCAAACCGTGGCTAACTAGGCTACCACATGAAAATAATTGTGCCATGGTATTTCTGATCAAAAGTTACCATATAGCTAGACCCTTTCTGCTAAATGTACTGTGAACAAAAGGTTAGCTATCTAGCTAGCTAGCCAGCAAACGTTAGCTGGCCCAAGGGTGGCGTATAGATAGCTAGCTAGCCAAGGCAAGAAGATCCATGTGATCTCTCCTGTCGAAATTCCTTTGATAATCATTTTCACAATCACAAATACTCTCACCACTTTAGCACTGTCCCTAAATAAAGATCACTATAAACAGTAGCATTGTTACGAGTTATTTATTATAGTTAGCTAGATGGAGAACAGCATCTGTCTTCACATTCTGCAGCAGAAATCTGACTGACCAACTATCTGGCACCCAGTTGACAAAAACATGCAGTGAGAATTGCAGGTGGCATTTATTGGGATGTCTCATGTAGCCTACTAGACGCAGCTCTGCAGAGTGCAAGCTGGCACAGCCACAAAGTCATCAAATCATATTTTAAACCTAACCTTAACCAAGCTGCTAAACTTAAATTAAGACCAAAAAGCTAATTTTTACTATATAGCCAATTTTGACTTTGCAGCAGGCCCATCTAGCGGAACAGTCTATCGCCCAGTTCTGCAAAAAAAAAATTCTGTTAACATTTATTTAATTTTGCATTATTATTATTTAGTTTTTTTTGCACAAACCACCAGTATACATACAGGAAGTATACAAACAAACAAACAAGAACAATATATACGCTATCCTTGATAGTACGCCATAGTCTGATACTATTCCATCTGGAACTCACATGCTGTTTAGAAGTGTAACCAGACCTCACGTTTTTGAAATACCCTTGCTTTGTCCAGTTGACTATCCAGTAGGAAAAATGTGTTTCTCCTTGCTCCCTCAGTTCAATGACAGATCTATACATGCTTTATTTCAAAGGGATGTTGTATCTATTCCTGATGTTACAACTTACTGGAATTCATTTGTCATTATAAACTGTGTGGTTTGAGCCCTGAATGGTGATTGGCTGAATGCTGCGGTATATCAGACCGTATACCACGGGTATGACAACAAAAACAACTTTTTACTGTTCTAATTACTTTGGTAACCAGTTAATACGGCAGTATCCAGGCACTCCGCATTGTGTCGTGCTTAAGAACAGCCCTTAGCTGTGGTATATTGGCCACACACCACACCTCCTCGGGCCTTATTGTTTAAATAATATCTGTTGGAAAAAGGTTTGGTTATTACCACACAAATTCCTGGTCAAAAGGTCTCTTTCAGAATTATCCATAAGTATTACCCAGCAAATCATTACCTGAAGAAACTAAAAACATACATTAACTGTACATTTTGTGATGAGCATCCAGATTTTTTAAAATGTATTTTGGCATTGTCTACATGTTTAGCATGTTAGCTAACCCGTCCCCTAACCTTAACCCTTTAGTCACAACAAATTGGAATTCGTAACATATCATACATTTAGCAAATTTGTAACATATTGTGCATTTTGCAAATTCGTAAACAGGGCCTAAAATTAACACCCCCCACCCGCCAAATGCGGGTAGATTTTGTCATTGGCGGTTATGAATGTCTAATTCACCAGCCACGTTGGCGGATGGTCACACACAGGGCTCTACAAATCTAAGTATTTCTGCCATTTTGTTTAATATCTGGTAATGCACAAATAAATAGGAATCCTAACGTTATAGCTAACCCACCTTGCGCAGCAACACTGCCTGCTGGGGAAAGATTAGTTTTTAGAAGCAATGCGCACAGGCATAACAGCTGGTCTAACTACTAAAGTGAGACTTTATCCTCGTGCTTCTTTGATATTTACATTGTTTTGTTCACAAGTTAGGTTGTTTTTCACTGTTTGAGTTTGCTTCCACTGCTAGCGAAGAGAAGAGATATAGTCGGCCTCTACTAGTGAGATTCTCACAGGCTCACTTGAGGAATTGAGTGGCCCCACTACCAAGGTAACCTTAAAGGGGCAGCTGAACATTTTTGTCTCATCTGTGATATTTTTGTTAAAAGACAGGTCACAAAATATTAAATTAAATTGAGCAATATACCACATTACTTCTTAATAGTAATATATTCCTTGTTTAAGAAACATTACAAAGCATGCTCATCCATTTTGTTTAGTGTTTTTTGGTGTAATTAATCTGTAAAAAATATTTTGGCTGGTAAAACAATCTTAGTTGCTGGTAGATTTTTTTTATCTAGTTGCCACAGTGGCTGGTAGACAGAAAACTTAGTTTTAGGCCCTATTCGTAACATATTGTACATTTAGCAAATTCGTAACATAATGTACAAATTATAATTCAGAACATATCATCTGAAATAGATGATGGACATCCACAAATGAATACATACCATATCATACTAAAAGTAGTGTCTCGGATTTACATACAGAATAATACGAAATGCTCTGAGACCAGGTTGGGTATCAAGAACAAGATGAAACTAGCTGAAACGAGTCACTTACTATTCCCCACATGGCAGTTTATTTTCATTGTTGGTAGCTATCTGGCCACCCAGAATCACAACAACTCACGGACTTCTGCCCAATTGAAGCGTGCGCATCATTTTGATGTTGTTAGCTAACCCATCTATAGGCTTTCTCCAAAGAATAAGTGACCTATTATATTGGAGTCGAAATTGTTATACCTGCTTTTAAATTACTGTAATATTTGTAAATTTAGCACCAATTTCCCATTATGCTGTAAAACAACCACTTTTCACATGTTCTTAACCATAGTGACTGGGTGGGTGTCCAATTAAAATTGCAAAACATTTCACAGAGCTTAGACTAACTACTGGTGGAGTACTGGTGGAATTCCACCTTCTATTCAAAGGGAATCCTCCACGCCTAAACTCACTCAAATGCAAAGTGTGACACGATTACAGAAACAACCAATCAGAGCAAACGTGGGTGTCGCTGTAGTACTATAAATTGACCAGGTGAGACAGTTGGCAGCTTGTGATGCACCTGTACTGGACACAAAATAGTATTGAACAGAGAGAAAGGCAAATACACCTCTTAGCTGGAAACAGAGGAACAGATAATACTGAAGAAAAGTGAGATCAATAGATTTTTTTTACCAGAGCCATTTATCAGACTGAAGAGACCAGCTGCCAATCCAAGGACCAGTCTGTGGGTGAGCATGATGTCGTTTGTGCCACAGAGCCTCTCTCCACCTCCATGTGGGACCCAGTACCCCAGTCTGGGACAGGAGTCTCCAGAGTTCAGCCTGTACAGCGACAGCTTCTACAGCCCTCCAGCCCTGCCTAGCCTGCAGCAGGCCACCCCTCCTGCCTACGACCTGGGAGACTACACCAGCCCTCCTACCAACCCTTACCTGTGGTTCAATGGCCTAGAGCTCAACAGTGTTCCCTACCTAGGGGGACCCACGGGGCCAGTCTGTGGGCCCTATGTACCCCAACACTACAACATGCAGAGGCCCTATCTGGGTGCTGACGGAGCAGGGGGTGGTGTCGGGGACCTGAGCTGGTTTTCCATGCCCTCTCAGGAAGAGCTGATGAAGCTGGTCAGGCCACCCTACTCCTACTCTGCCCTTATTGCCATGGCGATCCATGGGGCCCAAGAGAGACGGCTCACCCTGAGCCAGATCTACCAATATGTAGCAGACAACTTCCCCTTCTACAACAAGAGCAAGGCCGGGTGGCAGAATTCTATCCGCCACAACCTCTCCCTCAATGACTGCTTCAAGAAGGTGCCCCGAGATGAGGATGATCCAGGTAAGAACATTTCCTTGGTTTTAAAAATGTGTCTTTTAATTTCAAGGTGTTCCATGTTTACACCATTTTTGATTTACAAAAGGGAAATGTATACATTTATAACCTTTAAAAAATGGTGTAATGTGTCTCAGACTGATATTAACTGTTGCCTAACTATGTGAGAGCAATTCCTTAACAAACATGTCTTATGTGTCTCCTTATAGGCAAGGGTAACTATTGGACCTTGGACCCCAACTGTGAGAAGAGGTTCGACAATGGCAACTTCCGTCGCAAGAGGAAGAGGAAGTCGGAATCCCTGCCTGGCGACGGGGGCTCCTCAGGTTCTGAGTCGTTAGAGTCCAGCCCCAAACACCCCAACAACATGAGTGATGTGTCCAGCTCCTCTGACCTTGGCCCCTCCCCCATCTCTTCAGCCCCCTCCCTCTGCCTGAACAGCTTCCTGTCTCAGATGGCTGAAGTGGAGGCAGTATCAAACACAGTAGTGGCAGATACCCTCCACAGACCCAGCCTGCCTATAGAGGTACTCCAACGGGCCTCTCCGTCCCAAGGATACGGCTCCTACTCTCCCAACGATACAGTGCCTCACTGGGAGGTCCATATGTCCCATCCACAGCAGCCTACCATCACCTCCTCCCCTCCCCTCTACCCTGGGGGCTACAGGGACTCTGTCCTCAGCCGGCTCAGCAGCCAGTTATACCCAGCCTTGGACTCTGCCTCAATGCTTTACCCACAGGAAGGCACAGAGGTGTAAAGAACAACTGAAAGAGCTACTGTACACCATAGGGCGGCAAACTCTCACTGCAATGTCTTCCCCAGCAGAGAATGAAACTACACTGAACTCATACTAAAGAAGGTGATTTACAATGTTTTTTTTCTCTCTTAATTGATTGTACATATGCATATTGTTTGCGGGTTCCATATATTGTCTTTATAATATAAACTGAACTATCTGTAAAATGTTTGAGGGATTCTTGGCTTTAATAAAAAACTAGTGGGTTTTGTTTGTGATGTACATAAATGTCCTGTCATCATGCGTTTTCATATTTGTAAAATAAAGAACAACAAATATAAGAATTCTCAATGCTATTTTTCGGGGAGTATTTATTGCATGAAAACAGAATAAAAGAGGCAAATACAGTATATGGTCACACTTTAAAAAAAATGTGGGGTCATGATTAATTCTGAAATACCTATTTAGGATGGTACATATCATGCAGTTTTATCAAGATTTGATTGCCAGTGCTTTTGTTTGAGATAAGACAAGTCAAGCTCCCATTACAGTCAATAATCTGAGAGACAGGGTGTGAAATGAGCGAGGCAAAGAAACCGTTAAACACTGAACGGGGGGGGAGAGCCAGGTGAGAGCCAGGGAAAAAAAGATAGATGCAACAGAACTTGTTCCTCAAGGTTGTCCTCTGCTCCCACTTACAGCTACAGTCACTTCTCCTCACCTCAGTCACCCTTTATTTGCCTCTCTTGGGTTCAGGGTATAAGCTAATGCCTCTCACCATCAGTCAGCCATGCTTTTGGAGATATAATAACATATTTAACATTTACATTTACATTTTAGTCATTTAGCAGACGCTCTTATCCAGAGCGACTTACAGTTAGCACATACATTATTTTATCGAACCCACAACCCTGGCGTTGCAAACGCCATGCTCTACCAACTGAGCTACATCCCCTGCCGGCCATTCCCTCCCCTACCCTGGACGACGCTGGGCCAATTGTGCGCCGCCCCATGGGTCTCCCGGTCGCGGCCGGCTACGACAGAGCCTGGATTCGAACCAGGATCTCTAGTGGCACAGCTAGCACTGATTTAACAGATCGGTTTCCTTTTAAACTATATGAACAGCACTCCTGAAAACTTTAAAAGGCTATTTGCAATTGTATTATATTTCCCATATTGGTAAATACAATCTTTAAACAACTCCATGAACTCTTCTGCAAGGGTTTGGAGGTGGGTGTGGCATTTCAACTTTGGATGGCCTCTTTTCTCCTTTGGACATGTAAAATGTAGACTACACACCTGTCCCCACTCTGCCCAACCCTTTTTACAATTCAAATTGAGTTCTGTTCAAGTCACATTATTACATGTAGACTTCAAGATCTCTCTAGCACACTATTGGCTTGAAGCTTCTTTTAGCTTCTCTATGCCATTTTGTAGAGTATCCACAACTGTACAACTGTACCGTTTCCCACGGGTGGCCAGTATGAAAAAAATATATATGTATGCACTCACTAACTGTAAGTCGCTCTGGATAAGAGCGTCTGCTAAATGACTAAAATGTAAAATGTAAATGTTTAACTTGGGAATCAATGTGAAAGTAGACTTGTCTCATTACATACAGTATATGGCATGTATTTATTTGCTTTCATCTCAGCACAATGTAAAAACTGCTGACTGTAACATTAAAATCTCACCTCCAATATTTACATGAGCTAAAAAACATGTAAACTCAACATATACCACTGAGGAGGTCTGTGAGATGCTGAGGTCAACATCTGTAGCCCAACGCTTAGAGCCGTGGGAACCAGCACCCCATGTCTCCCTCTGAGTAGCAGGCAGCAAAGGACGAGTAGAGGACAGGTCTGAGGAACCATTCCCACGTGGATCTGTGGAGAGGCACGAGAGAAACATGGAGTGAGAAAATGAAGGGGATAATGAGGAGACGGGGGAAGTGTTTGTTTAAGATCATTCTCAGAGATCACCACTTGGAGAGAGGGACACGTGGGTAATGATACTCTCTACTCTACAGGCCTCACCTCCAAGCCATCTCTCCTCTCCTCACACCCCTCATTCCACACCTCTCCTGTTACTACTCAGTCTGGAAGGAGAGCGAAGGGAGAAGAGGGTTCCCTTAACATGGAAGCATGATCACTTGTCTTAGTTGTTTTGGTTGTGTGATTTTCACAGGTATAATCATTCGCCTCTGTTCTTTACTTTGATGCTTCCTTTCCTCACTTAGAGAAGAAGAGTGATTGTGAATGGTTGGTTTGGACACTAAATTGTGTCAAACATCAATACAGTATGTGTCCTTACTCTTACTTGTGCTAAGTAAACTCCACACTTCTGCAGTATCGAAAATGTAAGATATAAGAGTGAGTCAAAGATTTCAATTTGATAGCTGAAAGAGGCCTCGTGATATAGTCTTGGAAACCCAGACTTAGGAGCAACAGCAGACATTGGTACATTGCGGGAGGCAACCTGTCTGTCTAGAGAGACTTCTCGTGAGGAGTCGTGATAATCAGTATTTACCCCACCTGATCAGGTGATATACAGTAATCACCCTACCTTGTCTTATTAGCCTAATGAACCCTCAGAGAGGCAAGCGTCCAATCCCTCTGTCAGCGCATGACAACAGCAGGCTCGTCATTACCCAGTCAACACTGATAAGAATGGCATGGGCCACACATCTCTAACTATAGCCCCATCCCCGCCACCACCCCACCCACATGCTCCAGGAACCCCATCCTTGTGTGTTTTTATTGACACAATACTATTTTGACTGGATGAAACAGCCCTCCCCTTTCAGATGTGTCATAAAGAGGTGATTAATACGCGACCAACGACACAGTAAGTGTGCCCTGTGTTTATGGTCTTGAGCCTCTTCGATTGTATCTGTCAGTGTTGCTTATGGGGAAAGATAGAGATTTTGCCTTTAGCTTTCTGCATGACAGTAGGGGAAAAAATCCCCATCTCAATACAGGATGCTGTAACCAGCTCAGGCTCCCTATGTTTAAAGGTCTTAGCCATGCCGATTTAATTGAGATAAATACAATTGCTACACATAAACAATTTTCCTGGATTAGAAAAAATATATATAATAATCATATAAAAACCCAATATGTAAATGAATGTCTCTAACAAGTCAAATAGATCAACAGCTGCCAGATGGTTGTAAATGAGGGGATTAATCTGTCCTGTGTGACATGTGGAATGTGCCGGTGGTCTGTCTCTAGTTCACAGGTGTCTCTAGCTCACAGCAGGTGCCCATCTGAGGCCAAAAGGGGCAAACGGCATCCTGAAACCCCGGCCCCCTCTACCTGTTCACTGTACACGTCTCTCTGCTCATCCACCCGCTCAGTCTAACACCAGTTACCTGTTCAAATGCTTCTCTCCTGATTCACTGTCTTATATCAATATTTCTAGTGTCTTGATCAAAAAGGCCTTTTCATCACTACCACGTCAATTCAGGCAGGTTCTTTATTTTCATTTGAAAAGACCTGCTGACATTCTCTGACATGAAAAGGCTCTATCAGACATTATATTTTGTTAAGAAGTTATTTCTCTCCAGTTGCTTAAAATAACTTTGGACCAGTATTGTATCCCAAAAGACAGGGTTGAACAGTTTGACTGTGATTTATTGATGTTGTGTCCTATGCTGAAACAATATTTTTCAACTGTCATCTCCTTTTGTATCAATGTCCACCTGCACATGTATTACGTTGTTTTAGGAAGTTACATATGATCATAATGTAGGTAGGTAATTTCTGAGTAATCATTTAAGTATATTTCTGTAATACACCACATGCACAGTTCATTGTACGAACCCTAATGTGAGTACTTTTAATCCAAACCAGTAAACCCATTTGACAAAGAGAAAGGTGTGCTACCATCCCAACTGGGTCAATCACTCAATGACTCTAATTAAGGAGAGGTGGGGGAGAATAATGTGGATCTTAATACCAAGATCCCAGCCTGGCAACACTGGGGCAATAATCACCCAGTCAACACTAATACATTGATAAGGCCGGCATGTGCCACACACACACACACGCACACAGACACACACAAACACAAACACAAACACAAACACACACACACACACACACACACACACACACACACACACACACACACACACACACACACACACACACACACACACACACACACACACACACACACACACACACACACACACACACACACACTTCTCTTCACCTTATTGACCCCGCCCTATAAATGACACAAGCCTTCATCTTTGGTGATACAACAGGGCAGGCATAATGCTATCTCTATCTGCCCTTGGTAAGATGGGCCCCCCATTCAGATGTGTAAGTCTGACGAGATGCCTCACGTCCAACGACACAGTAAGTGTGCCTTGTGTTTACTGACACATTCCACATCAATAGGACTGTATTGTTGGTAAACACTGATGCTGATGCGGGTAGAGATGAACACCTCACTATGCCCTCGAGCTCAATCATACAGGTCTGGAACAAACTGTTGGATCCACCCAAAGAAAGAAGAAGAAGGATACAGCGTATGTAGAAGACAATTGTGTTTTTATTTGTTTGGTACTGTTCAAAAATATGATCAGTGTTGAGTAAAAGCATCAAAGATATTAATTACATTTTAAGACATTTGAGAAAGTTGATTATGACTTTGCCCCAGATAGTATTCTCTTATTGCAGGTATTGTAGAAGAACAAAAGCATCATTGGGGGATTGTTCGGTTAGACTGACGTTAAACCCAAACATACATTGTCTTCAGTTGGAATTTATGTATCTAAAATATCGCTAAATTAATTACACGTTTCTTTATATATGTCAGAACATAATCCAGTTTTGGCCTGCAGTGCTTTGCCCCGGGAAACATGATCTTAAATGGTGCCATTGTTGATACAATATTCCTCTTACCACAGACATTATCCTTGATAAATTTGGCCCAGTGCTCATTCTTGTTATTCCTACAATTATAGCTCCAGACAATTTGCATAGGAATATGGGTGGTACAGCACATTGCCAAAGTGATACTTGGATTGAG